CAAAAGGTTGTTTTAATCCCACTGTGAGAGGGGAGGGAGGGTCAGGGGAGGGACGTGGGAGGAGGGGTTTAGGGGTTGTGAGTGTGTTGGAGGGGTGGGGGTGATTTTGTGAGGGGATCAGTGCTTCTGTCTCTACTGTCACAGCAGACACGCAGAGGAATACACAGTCACAGGGATGATGCTCGGAAGCAACAAATTCGCACACTGAGGGGATTTATTCTTAGTGACACAGAGATAAAGGTGATGTATCCTCCGCTTTGTTAATAGGAATCTTAGACCAGGTTATCACACCTATGATGTTGTTGAAGATGTGCAGGTGATGGTCTAAGTCACCTGGATTTCTTGTTTCAGCTTTTTCACCCTTTTGGGTGATTCTGCTTCTGAAACCATTTTCATAATTCAGTAATCTATTAAATTATTTTTAATGAAAGAAATATGTAATGTTCGCAGGTGCAAACTTCTCGCATGTGAGGATTTACTGCTGTTGTTTCTTTTATGACAATAAATATGTTTGAATTTTGGGACTTGGGCATTAATCACTCTATTTCAGTCATTGCAAATATTTGTTTAGAGCAGAAACGACAGTTGATTGACTAGTTGTTCAGCAGAAGATTGAGTCAGCACAATGTTTTTCATAGATTAAGCTCCTCAGTTGCGAAGATTTGCTGCTTTTCTTTGTCTTATGTGATGTGTAGTCTGTTGATTTTTCACTAGTTTTTGAAATTTTATACACCAAACAATGAATATGTTAGTTTAGAAAACAATCTGCAGTTTAGCCAATAAGGAATATAATTTAGTTGACTCTCAAAATGTCTACCAAAACAGTAAACCCACTTGGTTTTGACTAGATTCAGCCTGTGAAGCATTGACAGGTGTGGATATTTCTTGCAGTGTGATAAAAGTTCTACAGCAGTCGTCTTCTGCAGTGAGATGTTAGAGCTTGTTTCCTCTGATTATCAGCTATGTTATTAACATTTTCATGGCTAGTTTGCACTTTTCCAGCACATCCATATCAACACATCATCTTTATTTTGCTGATTTGCAATGTAATGGCAATAAGAGCACATCTTTTTTTCT